AAAAACTAGTTGTGTTAAGACAAACTTGTAATAATGAGGAACCTAAGTTCAAACCCGAGACTTGCTTTTTGTCTAATCAACATTGAAAATTTAAAAATGCATAACACCATTCATACCTACATTTGAATGCTGCAGAAATTATTGAAAACTTTGGAGTGTACAGAATTTAAACATATCTTTGAGTTTACCATTTTAGACTTCTTTAAAATTCAGGAAAGAATTTTCAGCAATAGGATATGATTTAATATAGAGTAAGAGCTTTTTATGCTTAATCTTTTATTCTACATCTTTACTTTTTGTCTCGTAATAATAAGAATAATAAAAAGAATTTATTCTTCTCTCATTTAAGAGTTTCTTGTTCTCTTGAAAAAGAGAAAAAAAAAAGAAAAGAAGAAGAAAAAATAAAAAAAGATATGAAAAAGTTAAAAAAAATGAAAAATGAAAAATGAAAAAAGAAGAAAAGGAAGAAAATTTTGGCTTCATCCTCCTTATGACAAATGTAATTATAGATTTTTATCATTTCATCATTATTCTAGGTCAACTGAACAAATATAAGTTCTTAATTTCTCATCTGCTTTGATTTGTTCATCATATAGTTTGCATTGAGGACAATGTAGTTTTTAGGTGTGGGGATGGAGACTAGTTATTTTCCTCTTTATTTTACCATTTTTATTCCTTTTTCCTATGTCATACATTTTCTTCACTTTTCTTTCCAAATTTGTTTGTCACTTTCCAACTTAATAGAGTTTATTAATAATTAATTTACTTGATAAATTTTAAAATTTCTAATTCTTAATTAGTTTTATACTCAAGTTAACCTTTTATGATAACTCTAAACAAATCTATTAAGAAATGATTTTTAAAGTAGTATACTTCACTAAAGTCTTAACTTTGACTTGTAATTAAATGAATAAAATTTTTCCATGCTTAGATTAGAGTAGAAAATAATTCTTTAAGTCGTCTTGATCTAAATATTTTTCAAGCTACACACACACATTTAGAAAAACTAACTTTGCAAAAGAAGAGTATGAAAAATAGGCATCAATAAAAATTCTCTTAAACTCTAAAGTAATTCTATCTCACTAAGCCTAAGTTGACCGAATGATTAAACCCAAAGAGTTTTTTCATACTTAATGATGTAAGCCCAATTGGGTTAGCATCCATTGACCCAAAACTCCTTAAATGGTCACTTAGAAAGCCCAATAAAGTAGAACAAAATCACTAAGAATATATATATATATATATATATATATATATATATAGTATATATATAATATATATATATATATATATATATATATATATATATATATATATATATATATATATATATATATATATATATATATATATATATATATATATATATATATATGTGTGATGTGTGTGTGTGTGTGTGTTGTGTGTGTGGTGTGTGTGTGGTGTGTGTGTGTGTGTATATATAAATTGGTATGTTTGGTACCAAGCACAAGTTTTTGTGTTTGGTAGTGATGTGGCATATTCCCCTCCACTCATTAAAATCGGGCTCATATTCACATAGGTTGGGGAGTAGTTGAGAATTGGAATGAGTGGATGAGAATATGACACCTCGCTACAAAGCATAAAATTTGTGCTTGGTACCAACATATCCATTTTTCTTATATATATATATATATATATATATATATATATATTATATATATATATATATATATATATTATATATATATATATATATATATATATATATATATATATATATATATATATATATAATATATATATATATATATATATACACTAACAAAAATTATATTTATAGTTATATTTGTATATATTTTTGAAAAATAAATTGATCAATAGACTTGAAAAGTATTTGAAACAAAGAGTTAGCATGTTATTTTCAAGACTTAAAAATTCTAAGTTGAACTTGGTTTTGTATAACTACAATGAAAATATTTTCTATGAGATTTACTTTGGAGTTAAATATAAAAATATTTTCTTGAGTAAAAACTAGCTACAATTGGATTGTTTAAAGACATCAAGTAAATTAATTATTCACTAACTTCTTTAAATTGACAAGTTCATCAAATTTTGTAGCTATATTCACTACAAAGCCTTGTGAGACTACAACTCATCTACTAGGATAATCTAGGGGTTTAAAAACTTGTTGTATGCGCTAAATACAACCGCGATTCCTGTAAAAGTAAGTAAGAACTTTTCTTTCTTTCATTTTCGTTTTCTTTGCTGGAGAACTAGCAAAAGTTTAGGTGTTGGAGTATTTGATATCACATTTTTATTATATTTTTATACACTCATTATCTTTTTATTTAAATAAAAATATCACTAATAACATGTTTGTCTTAATTTGCAAGTAAATAAAGAATTAATGAATAAAAACTCAAAAGAATTCAATTTTCTAATTTTTTTTTGTCATTTATTGAAGCCCAAATATGAAGACAAAAGAAAGCTAAAAAAACTCACGGATCTGTAAAGAAATCTGGTCAAGAAATCAATAAAAAAATTAATCTATTGCAAACTAATTGGTTGGTTAACTGATTGGCCAATTGGTCGGCAAACCGATTGGTTCGCATTAGAAATAATTTTCTAACTGAGTTTAATCTTTGTTCTCCAAACAAAATCCAAGGGTTCTCATTCATTGTTGTAGGCTATAAATAGAGTTAGATTACGAGGGAGGTTTGAGTGTGAATTTTTTTATAAAAACTCTATTTGAAGAGGGTGGTTACTCTTAATTGAGAAGACCTTCTAAAATTGTAACTTTATTATAATTAATAATAGAATATTTTGTCTCTTCATATTTTCTTTTCTTCTCTTTATTTGTTGATGAAGATGAAGACGAAGATGAAAATGAAGATGAAGATTTGTCTTCAAGGGGCTAGAACTCTCTTGCAATGTAAGTTTTCTTTTTTCTCTTTTATTTTTACTTAGATATTAATGTTTTAGAATTTTATTTTCTTTGGGTAGATTAGATTTATTTTAATATCTTGTAAAGTATATTTGCTTTCATGTTTTTATTTTTTATTAATTTCTTGCACTTTTATTTGGTAATATTGATTTATTTTCTTGTATTTTCTTTTTGTAGTTAAATTTATAGGTTAAGCACAAGTTTAAGAAATTTCTGTGTTAGATCATATCTCAAAGCAATTGACACATCACAGTGCATGATCTGACAAAGTAATTTCTACAGATATATAACAATTATAGATTATGATACCCAAATTATACGTTGCAAGTGACACATCACAATGCATGATCTAATAAAACAATTTCTAAGGATATATAACAATTATAGAAAATGATACCCAAATTATATGTGCAACAATTAAATCCATTAATATTACAAGAATATTACATAATTTATATTGGACGTTTAAGGGCATAATATTACTATTCCAACACATTCATCTGATGCCTGATTATTCTAGTGAAGGCATATGTCGAGATTTGATCTCAAGCGGGAGAGTGGTAGTAATTCAAGCTCCATGGCAATTAGGCAGCTTCACTTTGAGAGAAACTAAAGTATTTAGAGAGGTCTTAATGGAGAACTATGCGTAGAACACAGAGCATACTGGAACACTTCACGGAAGCCTACGGATCTATAGATGTTGAAGGACTACGAGAGAGGCCATAGGGCAGTGGCGGAGCCACATTAGCCTTGCCCTGGGCAGCTACCCAGGGCAAGATTTGAAAATATATATATAGCAATGTCGGTACATAATTTGAGCTGAATTCATAGAATGATTGGAATTAGTTTATAGTTAACTAGAGAGATTATGTCAAGGACTAAGAAAGAGAATTTATTGTGATAATTAATCATTTATGATGCGTAATTAAATCGGCACACAACCCTGAAAAATTACTCTCGGATGAGTCTAGCAGTGTTGATACATAATTAAGGAGGATGTTTTCTTTTTTTCCCCTGAGGAAGGTGAGGGCGACGAACATGTCGTCGGCGATGCAGAGGAAGACGTTCTGATGCGCTCGTGAGGTGTTTTAAACCATCTTTATTTTTCGCCCAGGGTAAAAAATAATCCTGGCTACGCCAATGCCATAGGGTGAACCGGTACAATATTGATGTATCCTCTTTGCATGGCAACATAAAGTCGTGTGTTATCCCTTTTAATGATTGATGAAGATGACAGACTATTGACTAAGGTCGGACACAGGTTCGTCAACAAATTGGTTTACTATGATCCCCAAAAGGAAGGAAAACAAGTGATCATAGATAAGAACAAATCGTTTGCTACTAGTTGTTTTTTGTGTGGAGAGCTTCATTTCCTTGAACACACGTAACTGACTTTTTTTTTTTTTTCACTTTAGTTATTAGAAATTTAGAATAGTGTATTTGGTCAAGAACAAGAGTTAATTTTTTTTGTAATACAACATTTTGCCATTGTTTCAACTAGTTTTCTTGTTGATGTTTTGAAGTGCGCTTGACCCTTAGAAATCTAAAGTGTATTTGGTAACTCAACTACAATGGGGGCAAAGTTTGATATGACAAGAACCAGTTTAGTTTTGGACCACCTTGCTCTTGGTTCACAACAAAATCAATTTTGAGACCAAAGTTTGAACTAAAATGAGCTGAAAATGCCCAGACCAATCAAAAGAATGCTCTCTAAAATGGACCAGGGTCAACCCTGATCAGTTTTAAAGCGTTGCCAAGCTGACCATTAGTTATGAGTTTTAGACACTGATATCATCAGATGCATATTGACATGCAAAATGCTAATTAGACTATTACTTTTGGTACATCCTTTTTCCTGTTGGTTTAATTGGAAAACAAGATTCTCTAGGAATTCATTCAATAGTGCCATTTTGCTAACTAGAAACACTAGGTTCTTGTACTATAGATACCTTCACTCTTTTGGATATTGACTGGTTTAGTATGTGAATTGGTGATAAGTAGATTACTTGACTGTGAACTCGAGCCAAAAAATCTCTACTTAGAGATTTCCTCATAGTTGCATTGGGCTAATAAGCCCCCCCCCCCCCCCCCCCCCCTAAACATTATCATCATATACAGCATCAACAGATAACAGGATTATGATAACAGGGCTATATTGAAGAAACAAATCAATTGTAATAATGAAATCCTACTGTAGTTAGCTCCGACTTTTATATTTGATACAGTCAGAATCCAATGAGCTTATGTTTGGAAGGGGAAAAAAAGGGAATGCACTTGAGACATAAAACATGACCGTGAATAAATAGTTTACATTTATAAAAAAGTTAGGTTAATTTGAGATGGCCGACCAAACTTTGGGGGTTGTCGTACTGTAACCTTTTTCTTCCTCTTAACCACCACCCTAAAGTTTAGAAGATATTGCACTTAGCCCTGTAAACTTGTTTACTCTTGTAAATACCACTTGAAAATTTCTCGTTAAATCGCTCAACTTAGCACCATCATCTAAAACATGTCACCTATCAAGCACATGGCAAAAAAAAAAGACCCTTAGACCATCTCCAACCCCGCGTCATTTTGAGGCAAAACGCCATTTTGCCGCTCCGAGACGTCTCCAACCTAACGTCATTTGCAGCGTTATTTTAGCAGTGATGAACAGCGCGACGCCATATTTGGCGTTGCACTGTTCATCATCGCATTACTGTTCATTTATTATTTTTTTAACCTCATACTTTTATGTATTTACAATTTGACCCCAATTGTTTTATTAAATGTATAAAACAATCCCAATAATATTTAAATTTTATAATTTTATCCCAATTGTATAATTTGGACAAAATAAATTATTTTTTAAAATAAAAAATAATGCTAAAATTTAAAAGACATTATTATTAATTATAAAATTTAAAAAATGACATATAAAAATTTGATAATACCCCAACCCTTGAAGTCCCATGAAATATAAAGAGCAATCCTAATACATAATTCAAATATAAATTACATATCTGAAATACATAACATATAAAAACTGACACGCATAATATATGGCTATCTTTTCTCGTTCGATATCAAACGCTACTTGCCTGTCCAAGCTCGCCTTGTCTAACCTGTCTATAAGTCGATTGTTGGAGGTCTCGATGGAGTCCACTACACTTGACTCATGATCATCATTTTTCCTTTTCAATTTAGCTTTTTTTACCCCAATAGGTCGTTCAGATGGAGTAAATGATGACAGTCCAGGAGATGTTGATATAGGAGATTCCGGAGTGGGATTATCTGATTGTGACGAGTCGAAGTTCACACTTTGGGATTGTCTTCGACCAACTTGTCTTGCTGTGGGGACATCATCTTTGAATTTTTTGAAATTTTTAACCATATTCCAGACATGATCAAATTTGAAACCTTTTTTGTACTTTGGTTCTTGCATAAATAACATCTTTGCTCGAACTAACTGTAAATTATAGTGAACATCAAGTTATGTATTTCAACAATAATAATAAAATTCAAACGATAATTAATAGAATACTTACAATATCTTCATCTGAAGCACCACTTGGATTCAGATTCTCTACTTGTCTCAAGCACGCATTCAATTTCCTTACTTCATTACTTATGATTTCCATTCGAGAACGAATTGATCGGCTCGTACGCATCTCAAAATGCTGATCTCGAAGTTCATTGTATTTGTCCTCCACACGAGACCAAAATGCATCTCGAGACTGGTTTCTACCGATAATAGGGTCTTGAGAAATATCCAAGAATACTTGACAAAGGAGCACATCTTCAGTAACCGTGTATCCAGTTGATCGAACAGACATTTTTTTATAAAAAGCGGTTGGTTTGGAGATCAGAAATACTTTGAAGAAATACTTCGAATTGGGTGGTTTGAAGTAGAATTTGTGAATGTTATTTATAGCCAATCGAAATTTGTTTTTTTTTTGTTTGAATTTGAATTTGAATTTGAATTTGTCGGTGGTCAACATTTGAAATTGAATCATTTTGTACAAACTGATCAGCCTTACACATTATCCAATGTTGTCGGTGGGAATTAATTTTTGAAATCAGGTCAGGTTTACACATTGTCCAACGTATACACATGCTCAGCTCTCCTTGAATTGTGTGAAAGCTTTGTACGAGTGGGAATCAATTTTTGAAATCAGGTCAGCTTTACACATTGTCCAACGTATACATAGCTCAGCTCTCCTTGAATTGTGTGAAAGCTTTGTACGAGTGGGAATCATTTTTTGAAATCAGGTTAGCTTTACACATTGTCCAACGTATACACAACTCAACTTTCCTTGAATTGTGTGAAAGCTTTATACGAGTGGGAATCAATTTTTGAAATCAGGCCAGCTTTACACATTGTCCAACATATACAGCTAAAAGCAAATTTGAATTTTGTGACAAATTGATAACAGCTAGAAAGCATTTCCTAAAATCAGCTCAACTTTACACATTGTTCAATGTATACAGCTAAGCAAAGTTTTATAAATAGCATACTAGATTAGGTACATCCACACAATTACTCGTTGTTGTGTTAAAATTATTATTCTCCATTTCTGCATACTTCAGTCATTCTTTTCTTACTTCAAAAATAAATTTCGATGTTGGAGGTCCATCATACTTATCATCATCTTCATCTTCGGATGATGATAATTTTCTGTCCAATATCATTGCAGAGATTGATGAAACCGAAGAAGTAATTTGTGAGTACATCAACAACAACATGATCCTCGTTAACAATTTACGTCAACACAACTACCAACCGATCCATGGTGGCTCGATTCACGGTCATGCAGTGATCAACCGCAATCGAGAAAATGTGCATCAGAATTTGGTCATAGATTACTTTGCCGATAATCCACGTTTTGGAGAAGATATGTTTCGTCGTCGATATCGGATGTCAAGAAGTTTGTTCCTTCGTATTGTTGATGCAGTGAAAGATCATGACTATTACTTCCAACAACGAAGTGATGGACTTGGTAGAATGGGATTATCACCGTTACAGAAAGTAACAGCTGTTTTTCGTATGTTGGCATACGGTCTACCAGCTGATGCTACAGACGAATACGTTAAAATAGGTGAGTCAACAACAATTGAAAGTATGACAAAATTTTGTCGTGCTATGATGGAAATATTCGCAGAGCGGTATCTACGAACACCTAACACTAACGATATTGCTAGGCTACTCTATATTAGAAAAAAACGTGGTTTTCCAGGAATGTTAGGAAGTCTTGATTGTATGCATTGAAAATGGAAAAATTGTCCAACAGCATGGTCTGGGCAATACACAGGACGTAGTGGGTCACTAACTATTATTCTCGAAGCTGTGGCAGATTATGATCTTTGGATATGGCACGCATATTTTGGTATGCCAGGCACCAATAATGATATCAATGTGCTAGAGTCATCTAATCTTTTCTCCTAACCTAGCTCAAGGTATTGCTCCTCCCGCTCACTATGTTATTCAAGGAAAAGAGTATAATATGAGTTATTATTTAGCTGATGATATATATCCGAAATGTGCTACTATTGTACAAACAATCCAACAGCCACAATGTAGGAAGAAAAAATATTTTGCCATGAAACAGGAAGCATGTAGAAAAGATGTAGAACGTGTGTTCGGAGTTCTCCAATCACGATTTGCAATTGTGGCAGGATCAGCACGTTTTTGGAAAAAACATGTATTACATGACATAATGACTGCATGCATTATTATGCACAATATGATAATCGAGGATGGACGTGATCTACAAGGTAGGAAGAAAAAATATTTTGCCATGAAACAGGAAGCATGTAGAAAAGATGTAGAACGTGCGTTCGGAGTTCTCCAATCACGATTTGCAATCGTGGCAGGATCAGCACGTTTTTGGAAAAAACATGTATTACATGACATAATGACTGCATGCATTATTATGCACAATATGATAATCGAGGATGGACGTGATCTTTATGCACCAATTCAAGAAGTGAGGGGAAGCACCAACACCAGAAGTTGATATGGTAGCAGATGAAACTACAAGATTTACTAAATTTATTGCACGTTACGAAAAAATCAAGGATAAAGATGCCCATATTGTGTTTCGTAATGCATTGATAGATCATCTATGGGAGGAATACACTAATTCAAATAGTTAAGTGCATACTAAATTTGTAATTTTTACATTGTTGTTAATGTTTAATTATTTTCTTGTATTTTATTTTCTGTTGTGTTCTTGAATGTAATATTTTGGCAATATCAATAATAAAAATATAATATTTTAGCAATCAAGTTATTTTAATTAATAAAACAATATTTTATCGTTTTACTAGTTTAATTTTTTAAATAATAAATCATTTTGTTTGGAAAATATGTGAAAAAATAAAATTTGATATGTGGGGTTAATTATTGAAATAGTTAAAAATATAGGGAATAAAAAATAATCATATAAAAGTAGATAAAAAGAAAGATACTGAGAATATTCTTTTTTGGTGCAAAAAATGGTGCAATGGGTTGGAGATGATTTACTGTTAGATGTGACTTTTACACCATTTTGGTGCAAAATTTGCACCATTTTGGTGCGATGGGTTGGAGATGCCCTTAGTACCAAAAAGTCTACCCTTTTGTATTTTTTAATAAAAGGATATTTCTTTTGAGGTTGAGAAGGAATTTTCATCTTTATCATTGTGTGTTTGTCACATGACATGTTTAGAGTATATGGTGGTAATTTGGGGATCAATAAGAAATTTTCTGTTGACATATCATGGAATAAAAACGTTCACGGGGTTATGTGTAATAACTGTCTAATAAAAATGGTTGAGGTGTTTAGTGCAACACCTCCCAAAGTTCAGGGATTTTTTTTCTTAAATTAACCTTATCATTCTGGTGTTTATTATCGGGTTCCGGATTTGGGAATGGCAGTATCCAAATCGGACCCGATAAAGTTCCCGGGTTCAATTCGAATCGGGCTATCGATTATCTAATTCCGAAATCCTCTCCCTCTCCATCTTCCTCTCGATCTCTCCTTATCCCCTCCGCCGCCGGTCTCC